CTCTCTCATTAAGCATATACTTGACACTAATGCTTATTAAGGATGAACAAGAAATAATGGAAATAAATAAAAACATTTTTGCCATTTCCCCATGAGAAGTGTTTGTCGTCATCCAGTCGATGTTTGTGTCATATACTGGAGTATGGAGGACCAGGTCTCCCTCAGCCTCCATCTATTGATTGGATGGTGATTACACTCATGACGCCTATTTCATTAAGAAGAATGTAAACCATGGTCATAATGACAACAATGACCATGCTATGTATGATCATCCAACCAATGGATTGGACGGTGATGGAAGGAGAGCGGGAGTGTACAACCAATTTATTGACTGTATTCTGTTTATTTTTATATTTATTTTAAAAGGTGCAGTTTGTATAGCCGAGGTTCTAAACAATCAAAGTAAAACACATCTTCAAATAGTATTGAGAAATGTGGATTCAATACTAAAAATCTTTGCGACAGCCTTAAAATATATTTTGATATTTAATTATAAAATTTAAGGCTGACCGAGCAGATCTATAAAAACTTGAAAATATTGAAAATTGATGGTCGAAAAATGCATTACAAGATGCACTATAACTTGAAATCCATTTTTTTCTCATGTCCATACATCTTGATGTGGAGATGATCAATTGGAAGGTGTTTCAGCACCAAAATAACCTCTTCTAATGAAATTTTTGAAGTGGACTCTAATTTGATTATTGAGAGCCTTGGCTCTATATAATTTTTTTTCCATTGTATAATCATTTATCTTTTTGTTTAACGAGTTTTTTTAAATTTATGGTTTATCCGAATCCCACTAGTCAATCATTACTTGACTATGGTGGCTTAACTAACAGTTAATTAATTATTTTTCCATTAACAAAATACCCCATGTAAAAAGCTCTTTGAAAATACATTAAAGAAATATGTAGACACATTGAAGCGGTCTTATTAGTATCACTTCATAAACTAAACATCTATTAGATTCAGTGATAGCCAAATCACGACACCTATGTTTTCGTCAAAAGATTAAGGTTCATCACCATCATATTATCCTTACATGAATAAGAGTATTATGGTAAAAAAAAAGAAGAATAAGAGTATTATGGTAAAAAAAAAAAGGTTTTTTTGGGAGCAAGAAAGAAACTCTAATGATATCCGTATAAAGGAATCAAAGGGACATACTACTCAACCCTTTTTGAGTCACCCCTTTGTGATCATAAGAAGGGATTTCCACGAAGGAGATGAGTCTTCAAGAGAGAGAGAGATATTGCCTCAAGGAGTGGTGGATTTCCCATAGAACTTTGGGTTAGTTTAGTTTCTACTTTTAGAGAGATAAAATCTCTCTGTGACTAGGCTATTTCCGATAATAGTGTAGCGGAGGAAAAGATGAAGACGATCAATGGTATTACTCCATCAGGAAATTGGATTTATAAGGGAAGATTGGTGAAGTTTAAGAGAGATATATCTCTTGTAACTCAAAATTGTAATTTTCATTGAGATAATGGATTTTCACTTGTCGAGGCCGTGGACGTAGCCTTATCGAGCAAACCAAATAAATCGTGTCTTATTGTGGCGAGGTTTTCATCTTTGCTTTATTTGTGGTACTCCATTTATAGCTGTAATCATTGATTTCATATTTAGGCAATTATTGTACACCATCTTGAGTAGCATCCTAGTATTTGGGATTTTTAGTTCTACAACTAAGGGGTTCTCAAGAATCTTGCCCATCCGAAGGAGTTAGAACTAATAAAGCTAGACAAAGAGGAATGTGCATTCCCAATATTAGAAACAAAACAAGATGCATTATAATGAATAAAAAATGATAATGCTACAATCAAAACCATTCTCTCTCTCTATATCATTTAAACATGGGATCATAATACTATAAAACTATTTGATATAATATAAAAAAGTCACAATTACATTTAGCTGTTGGATGTGAAATTAGACATACAAAACTGTATCACAACATTTAGGAAAAAAAAAAAGACTTGAGCACACTTTATAGTACAAACATGCTTGAACAACTTTATAGTGCAATCATGTATCACAAAGTTAAAAAAAGAAAGAAAAGATGAGTTGGAACATGATCAATAGTACAATCCCAACCATCTGATTTAACTAAGGATGAATATTACCTCCTTATACCAAAAATAATTGGTCCTATTGTATATTTTTCCTTCAAACATGACTTAGACAAAGGGTTTCTTATTTAGTTTTTAGAAAGTTCCATGCTCGTTTCAGTAAAGAACTTATGATTCAGTAGTAAATCTAATGCTTAACCATGGAGACAACAATATGAAGCACTTGCATAATTCGTTTGTTTCTCATCGAAACGCAGTTAAGGGCATGTATATCAGCTTTCTGCAGGAGAAAAATGTTCACTTGCTCTCCCAGACAAAAAACGAAGTCAAAAAGATTTGTTTGATTTGAAATTTGGGAAATTACATAGGAATCACCAGATTAATTATTTAAAAGAAACGGAAATATTTTGAGTTCTTAACACTAAGAGTTAGTCATCCACAACGATTTTTTGAGACATCCACAATTATTTTAAAGAAAAGGAATTCTTTTCAGGATTTTTTGAGAGTATCTTCAAATTTTAAGCTTCTTTTTTCATTTTTTTTTTTTTCCTTATGCATTTTTTATATAAAGGTCGGCAACTATGATTAGTCGATTAAGTCCCTAAAATCTTCGGTCCAACAAATACTCAGGTAGATTTCTGCTCAAGGGAAGAAGATTACATTTGGCTCCGGCAGGAGCATCTAATATTTTGTTAAGACTTGAGATAAAAAAGATTAGACCAATATTTACCCAGTTTTGGAGATCTTTTGTAGTGATTTTAGCTGCTAACCGTTCAATCAAAAACTAAGTTCGAAACTGATCCTATATATTTTTTATTTTTCCCTCTACTCCCAAAATCGACTTTTAATCAGGTAATTAAAGGCTAAAGCATACAATTTAAAGTACACCTGAGCATTCCCTTGAAGATGCAAATAAAATAAAAGAACCAAGCACCTGTGTTGAGTTGAGATAACGATGTATAAAATTATCAAGTCGCAATGTTCAATAGTCAATATGCAGCTGTTTCAGTTTTGGCAACTTGCCCCCTGCACTTGTTTGTGTGCTCAATTGCCCAACGACCCCACAATCCACAACACACACACACTCTCTCTCTCTCTCTCTCTTCATTCATGGATTCATTCCCTCTCTCTCTAGCTGGATGTCTCTCTCTCTCTAGAGTAACAGGGACACTTCCTCAATCCACTAAACATGACCATACAAAACTCTTTTATGTGAACCCATACAAGGGCCCATAAAGGACTGCTACTTGTTACTACACATGCATCATGATGCTCATTTGCGGATCCATTATTTGCAAGTGGCAAAGAAGATTTGCTTCAAAATGCTGTTTCTCTCTCTCTAGGCAAAAGGGAAACTTACTCCTATTTCTTCCCATCTAACGTGGGGGACCTCATCTCTCTCTCTCTCTCTCTATTATCCATTCAAATAGTGTCGACAAGGAAATCCACTCATTGGTATCATCTGGGATGTCCATTGAGAATATCTTGAGATTAATGGCCAATTGGACAGGGAAAGAGAAAGATATTTGCTGGTCCAATTGAGCACATCTTGAGATCGATGGGCAATTGGACAGGGAAAGCGAAAGATATTTGCTCGTCCCATCGAGAGTGACGATAATAGTCTTCTACCTGATAGAATTTTAGATTACTCTAGAGAACTCTCTGTGTATTGATTGTTATAAAAAAATATATAAGAACTAGTATAAATATACAGTTAGTAAGAGTTATGATAATACCTGTCCAACAAAGACAGCTACACCCAATCTTATCAAGAGATGCACGATTTATCGAGAGATATATATCTATACACGATACGTATCCATAGAGATATATATCCATATCTATCTATACGATAACACTACCTTCACAGTACACTATAGGTATCCATAGAGATATATATCCATACAGCGATATATATCCATATCTATCTATACGATAACACTACCTTCAAAGAGAGGGATTTTACTCGTATCCATTCGTCCTAGAGAGTTCTATGAATCCTTTAATTACTTCCCTTCACAAGATTCATAACAAAAACTGCGAGAGAGAGAGATTTTACTTGCATCTATAAGTCCTATAGAGTTCTATGAATCCTTTAATTACTTCCCTTCACATGATCCATAACAAAAACCATGACAAAAGGTACAATGCCTTTTAGCAGTCATTAATTCCTTTGCTATTTCTAGAACAAATATCACTTGTCGGGGTGGTAGAAGCAAAAATGTCCTTCCCACTATGATATCTCCTTTAAACTTTTAAGAAGCTAAATCAACCTTAAAAAACATAACCAACAGTTATTCCACCCTAAAATATGCATTATTTAACCCCAATCACACTTTTATATATGTTCATCAAACATGTAAACACTTCCATATATGTTCATAAACACGTGACTTAAGAAAATTGAAAAAAAGAAGAAAAACACCATTTCCATGTCTAAGAATTTAGAGAAAGCTACCCCAAACAATCAAAATTCAAATTAATCTGTCACCAAACTTCAATAATTGATGCACACGTGTCTCCCATACGTGTTGTCAGCTAAAGGTGATCCTTTGAAAATTGATGGACCACACATGTGTGCACAAAAACACACACACATACACTCTCAACTGTCACTAGTAAATGATACCAGAATAACCAAAAACACACCTCACTCGTGTGACTAACTACACAATCAGCTAATTCAGGCCATCCAAATCGGCCCCACAGAAACAGTGGACGGCCCAAATTTCCCCACTGACATGGCCTAGAAATTGATCTAGTTCATTCATGGCAAGAGAAAAGGTATAAAAAAATATGGTCTTATTTTTATTATTGCTGTGGGGCGGTGGTAGTGGGGGATAGGCGTCACGGGCTCTCCCGTTTCTCCACCTATAAAAGCGCTTACACATCACATTGTGTAACAAACTAACAAAACTAGCACCAAAGATGTGGACCAAAAGCCTGATAGTAGCCACCCTTCTCTTTCCAACGCTAGTGCTAACAACTGTAGCACCTAGAGTTAGTGTCACAAAGGTGTCATCCGGTCCGTTTGCGGGTTCGGGTTCCAGTAACTCCGGCAATGAGGGAGGAAAATCAGAGTATGGCTCTGGGCATGGCTCGAGCCCAGATGGAACATGGGACTACAGGTGGGGCTATGGCTCTGAACCTGGAAGTGGGTGGGGGTTCGGGTCTGGGTCTGGTCACTCAAACAAAGGTGGTGGAAGCGGGTATGGTTACGGGTACGGTTCAGGTTCGAGTTCAGGCTCTGGGTCGGGGTTCGGGTTCGGTGGTGATGGAACCCATGGGGCGAGTGGGTTCGGTTATGGAGGCTCTGGTGGGTCAGGTGGGTTCGGTGGTGGTTCGGGAGGTGGATCAACTGGGTCTGGTAGTGGCTCAAATGGCCAAGCCAGCCGGGTGCCTTCTATTTCGAGCGGTGAGAACTGAAGGTTTGTCAAGGTTTTAGACTTGGTTTTTTTACTTTCAAACGATGCTGCATGTGTGGTGTGAGGATAAGTAGACTGGCTTTCTACTTGATAGTAGATGACACTATGAGACTGATACAGGATTGAAACCGTGTACCACATATATAGTTATACATATACATATAGACATAAGTATATCTAGACATAAGTATATGTAAGAAGATGTTTCTGAGTTCTGAACGAATAGTTTCTGGTTTTGGATCGCATGAACCTTTTTCTTCCTTTGGGTTTTTTGGTTTGTAAGATTTTCAGGTGGTTTGAATGGTGTGAATGTGTTCTGAGAAGCATTTGTTTTAGGAGAGACACATGGGTGAAAATATGCTTCTTAGCATACCACAGATGCAAATATAAATAAACAGGTAAAGAATCACTTTGGATAACATGAGATTTTGTAAAAGAGACACAGCAGATTGCGAATTTTCACATGTTGCTTTATCTTCTAGTTTACTTTTGGAGTTTTTATGACGGATCGAGATCTTTATCTGTTTCAGTGAAGAGATTCTAGTCAAGTTTCTGGTAATTTTTCAGTGCAGTTATTGGTTTCATAGAAATTTAGTTGCTACTTGTTTTTCAAGAAATTTGAAAATTTCTGATCACTTCCAATAACTAATCGTAATCTGGTCATTAATGGAGAGATTTTTCTTTCATATGTGTGGGTGTGTGTGTGGGTGTGGGTGAGAGTGAGAGTGAGAGAGAGAGAGAGAGATAGAGACAGAGGCAGGCAGGCTAGTCATCCAATATGGGTACAAACCAGATTTGAATGGTTGGTCATTTAAAGGGAAAGTACAGGCATGCAATTTGTCCTAAGCTAAACAATCACCTTCCATTAATTTCCCTTTGTATTTTCTTTTCATTCTGGAAGTACCCAATATAAAAATCATTTGGAAATTATCATGCAAATTCGCAGTAAAGCATACGAAAGTGGTTTAGTTTCTGAATTTATGGTTCAGAATCAGATATTCAAGAAAAAAATCATCCAATTTCATAGAATCAGATATTCAAGAAAAAAATCATCCAATTTCATATACAAAGTGTTTCAGGCCAAAAAATAAAATTCCTTTTCCCATTCATGGAAATGACATCATTTCAAAACGTGCTTAAGTCAAAGATGTCACCTCCGAATCTCTCTCTCTCTCTCTCTCTCTTCCTCATTCTCTCTCTCTATACACAGAAAAGCACACTCGCGGTTGCTCACACGCGCAAACACACATTGTGAGTGTGAAAGATGGATGATTTTTGAGATATGAACATTTCAAATCAGCATATCTATGTGAAAAAATGACTATCCTATGAACAACTGAATCACAACAAAAGCAAAATCCAAAGATGATTCTCATCATAAAAGCTTTATTTCGTACAGCAATTCTTGGAACACTAGATATTTTTTCATTGACATGCCACCAGGGGATGTAATTATGAATGGAATAACAAGAGTGCTTGAAAAATTAGTGTATGGTTGTAACAATGATTTGGTATCAAAAGTTTATATTTTGTACCTCTGCAAAAAAAGGTTGTTTAAAGACATCATAGACATTTTAAAAATGGCCCCATCTATTATGTAGCTTCTCATGTTCCTAACAAAATTTTGAGATTAACACTAAAAAAAAACAAAAATAATGATATTGTTAATCACCTTCAAGGGCTCATCAAGGCTAAAGCACAAACTAGGACCTCTCTCTCTCTCTCTCTCAATTAGGCTCCAGAACTCATCCGACTTGAATGGTTCTCACTGAAGCTCATTTGAAATGGGGTAAACGCAAAGCCAAGAAGGTAGCATTTACACAGAAGTGATCTAATGAGCACAACTCGTAGAGGTCTGGATAAGCCAGCCTCAGCTAGACTACAATCCATAGACATGAATGATCTCGACCATGTAGTGATCATGGGCATGGTTCAAATAGGTTTCTAGGTATAATGGTTCATGATGGTCTTAGCGGAAAGAAGAGCGACCCCTCCATGTTCATTGGACAGAAGATTCTAGGATGGTTGCTCATCATTTATGTGGAGGCATTGTGATAGGACTTGGCTCATAGATGGAAAGTGGGATGATACTCCCCTTGAAATGATTATGAAGAGGTCAACATATGAGTGTTTTGGTCTTAGTATTCCATGATGTGACGAACATCAAAGTCAACTTCAGTTAATCCAACATCATTTAACAGCTGGGATTGCATCCTTGCCTCATCACATAAACACGGATCTCAAGTTGACTGACCACCTTTATCAAATGAATGACCTGAACATGGCACAAATGTTTGTTTGAGAAGCTGTCAATGGTTGTTCCAACAGGATGATCTTCAAGTGTCGGTTCAGTGGGGTGCTAGCTGTTAAGTATATGCATAGAGCATCAAACAATTCTTACACCGCTTGAGGTAACACTTATCATTTGGTCTTTAGCGGGGACTTGCATGCGATTGCGTTTCTGACGTGCACAATACTTTCATTGTATTAATGTATCAGCACTTCAGTCATTTTGCCTATATCATTTTCATATTGGTCAAGGGTTCACGATTCAGGTAATAAGTCATTGCTCATTCAGTGATAGGGTTGACAGTAATCACATACGTTGACAGTGGAGGATTGAAGCGCAAGAAGCAACAAGGCAAAATATGCATTAGGAGGAAAAGTGGAAAGCAGCCCACCAAGGAATCATCAAAACCCAATAGAAGGCAAGTCTGCTTCTAACATAGTTTGGAAGAAAAAGAAACAGAAGTTTTTCACATTTGCGCTGTAAATTTGTCATAGTGAAGCACATCAAACATAACCAGTCTAAAGCAATCAACCAATCAATGAAATTTATGCAAAGAACCTGGTTCAAGACAAACACTGGTGAAGGAGTTCACAAAAGTTCCAGGGGCTTTATCAACATCAAGGACTTGCCAATTGACTTTGGGGTCGTAGACCCTGCCAATGGGAAGCCCTGGAAGCATAGGCTGCTTCAGGAGGGATCGATGTCACATGGGATCCAACACTCCATTCCAGCAGCAACAACCATATAGCCTCCTCTTTCTCAGTGTGTTTTGTCAGAGAAGGCAGAGAGAGATCAAATGACATGTGTCCCAATTGGGTCTCATGCACCTCCCACACCACTTTTATATTAATAAAAAATAATAAAAGGGAAAAACTGCACAATACAAACTTAAATAGGACATATAGGTCCCATTAACTTAAAATAAAAGAGAAATAATAATTAGAAGGACTTTTAACACTCCTCTCAAGCTGGAGCATATATGTTAACCATGCCCAGCTGGGAACAAATTGTTTGAAAGCAATTACAACCAAGAGCTTTAGTGAAGATGTCTGCCAACCGATCCTCAGATTTGACATACAGAGTAGATACCTGATTATTAGTGACTTTCTCTCTAATAAAATGACAGTCTACTTTGACATGTTTAGTTCTCTTCTCTCATGAAACACTGGCTTGCTGGCTTTATAAGTTGCAACTTTATTATCACCATACATCTTCATAGGTTCAGGAATAGTAAACCCATCTCCTGCATAAGTGTCTTCAGGCATATCAATTCGCATGAAGTACATGTGATTTCTCTATATTTGGCCTCTACACTGATATAGCCACATCATTTCATTTCTTACTTCTCCATCTAACCAGATTTCTACCAGTAAGTGTACAATAGCATGTGGTAGACTGCCTATCAGATGGAGAACTTGCTCAATCAGCATCTAACCAACCCTCAATGGTCAAATGATTATTTGACATGTAAATCAGACCTCAACCTGGGGCTCCCTTCAGGTACATCAAATTTCTATGAACAGCATCCCAGCAAGGAATCCTCGGAGAGGTGCACGAACTGACTCACTACACTTACTGCAAAAGCAATATCAGGCCTAGTAATGGTCAGATAAATCAGCCTACCTACCAGACTTCTGTACCTTCTTGGATCCTCTAACAATCCCCTGTATCAGCCAATAATTTTGCATTTGAATCAATAGGAATATCAACTGGTGTAGCCCCTAACATTCGTCTCTATCAACAAATCAGTCGCATATGTTCATTGTGACAAGCTAATGCCATGCTTCGACTTGGCTACTTCAATTCCTAGAAAATACTTAGATGACCCAAATCCTTTGTTTGGATATATTGTTTTAGGCGCCTCTTCAAATAATCGATTCCTTCTTGATCATTGCCTGTAATGTCAATATTGTCAACCTATACAACTAAGACAATTATCCTGGAGGCACATTTCCAGATAACCATGGAATGCTCTGCATGGTTGTGACGAAATCTATATGCAACAAGAATTACACTAAATTTCTCAATCTATGCACGTGGGGATTGCTTTAGGCCGTAAATGGATTTCTTCAACTTCGATACCTTATTTGACTCTCCTTGAGCAACAAACCTAGGTGGCTGCGCCATATACACCTCCCCTTGTAAATCACCACGTAGGAAGGCATTCTTTACATCAAATTGCCACAGTGGCAAGCCCTTATTTGTTGCTACAGATATAACTACTCATAAGTTTGGCAATAGGTGCAAAAGTTTTAGAGTAATCAATGTTGAAGTTTTAGAGTATCCTTGGGCAACCAACCTGGCTTTTAATCTCTCAATGATTTATTGCATAAACCTAGCAACACCTGACAGTTTTTTTTCCAACTGGGAACTCTGTGAGCTCCCATGTAAGTGCATTCATTTCCTCTACCATTTTCCACCCTACCGAACTTCTTCATAGACTTCCAAAGCTTGGCACAAGGTTACCAATGGTACCACATATTTCTAAATTGCCTCTGTCTAGCCTATGGACAGCCTCTCTATCTTTGTATGCTATGTGTTTAACAAACCAAAAACATTATCAAAAAACAAAAAAAATCTAGCACGTGATTTTGTAACCATTAGTAGAGAAGAATCAAATGGCATGAGCAAAGACAAGTATAAAAAAGTGCTTCCTGATAAGTCTTACAGATAGAAATAGATGAAAGAGCTAAAACAAAACTTTGATATGA